GGGTGTAGGTTAAAGGTTAGGAAAAGCAGAAGTATTGACTACTACTGTTCTTGGTGTATTTTAATCATTATGTGGCTCACTTTAAAAGGCACTGGTCTTTAAAACACATATTTTATCATAAACTCTATAGAAATAAAGAGAATATGTATCAGGCCATCAGAAAGTCCACCTACATAGCTATGCCTCTTGCTGGCTCCTGCAAACTGCAACTCTCCGAAGGCGTCGGTCGGGTATTCAGAGGAGTGCTGGGCGCTGTCCCAGTGGTTGACAATCGCTGTGCTGAAGTAGTCACCGAGAGCCACAGAGGCATGGGCATCTCTTGCACCCCCACACTGGCACAGCGCGCCATTACTGCGAGAGGTCAGAGGATAATTACATGTTAAAAACACATCATCGTTTGTTGCATCACACAGTAAACAGGGAGACATAAGTAGCCTCAGAGGAATGTGTGAGTTCACCGTACCTGAAGGAATCTTCCACAAAGGTGGTGCACACTCTTTTCTTGATGATTTTGGGGATCCAGCTCTGTAAACATCATCACAACAGGTTGATGAACTGAATTTGTATGCAAGCTGTATTTTAAAAAGTGTAATTCAGACCCTACTTTTCTACATCTGGAAATCATGTGGCCGCAAGGTGTAGTAAACCATTCAAATGAGAAATGTTGACTTTGGCTCAGAGAAGTACCTGGTGAGATGTGCCGTGCCTAAACACCTGACTGTGACTTCTGACGTGGTGCTGCAGTTTCAGCTCCAGTTTATAAGTGTGTATGTGTAAGAAAAGGGAACGTGTGTGAGCGGTGAGGCTTCTACTGTGTGAAGATATATTCACTGCATTCTGCAGTACAACTCCAAACCTACTTGTCAAACTAAGGGGCCCCACTAGTCTCTTTACAACTAGAAACCGGACTGTACACTTAAAAGAGTTTATTTATTTGAAGAAATCAATTTTTTAATGCACTGTCACATCAAGAGCTATGCAATAATGGGAATATATCTGCCTCACAGGACATTTTGACCATGCACCATGTTCAATTTAGCTGTGCTAGGAAGCCCCAGTCAGTGAGCCACAGGGCTGGCACACCTAAACGGAACGCAGCCATTATTAATGTTAGTTTTATTAGCTACACCTGTGCTGTGAGGACAGAGACAATTTTTTTTTTTCATCTTATTTTATTCATCCTTTGGCTGTTCGTATCACGGTATTTAACGGCGTGCTGCGTTTGTGACATCTTTTATCTCATTTGAAGCCTAACAGCTGTGTAGTGCTACTTAAATGTAGTGTGCTATCGTTAGCTTTCAGTATAACGTAAGCTAACCGCCGAGCAGAAGCTACATACAATAATGGGCGTGCTCTCGCCTTTGTTTTTACAGTCATTAAGCTAAGTAACTAAACGTAATGTAAAGAAAACGTTTTCCACACTCGGTCACGTTAACCGGCTCCTTTGTCGTTACTAGTTGTAAGTTGTAAACACTGTTGAATGTGTCATTTTCCGCAGCCGAGCTAGCTCAACTAACGTTACCGCCGGTTTGACAAGTAAACACAGTGTCAACATGACATGAGCAGAAACTTGCTGTCGTTAATAAGGTAACGCTGGGGCTACAGTGCCTTTGGTTAACCAACAAAGACTGTGAGTATAAGTCATGTGTGTACCATTTGATTTATCGTCCGTCACTGTGACTTTGTACACTCCTCCTTTTGTTACTCTTGTCACTTCTTTAGTCTTTGCCCAAACACCAGTACAGGAGCAGAAAGAGTTGGAGAGCCTACCCACCTGGTCCTTCTCAGATTTACCGTCTTTGTCTCCTTCGCCTCCTTCTCCTCCTGTGTCTCTCATGTCTTTTCCTCTCTGTTTGGCTCAGTGAGAGATGGGGGGTGGGGGGGACTTCAGGATTTCTTTCTGACCATTTTCTAGTCAGTAGGCTAATTTACTGGGTTGCTTTGAGTATGTAAATGCCAATGCTCAGGAAACTGGGATGCAGTGCAGACACACAGGTGTGGGTGTGGTTTTCTTTACAAGAGGCAGACAATTGGCAAATACAGTCCTCCAAACTGAAAACATAGGAGGGGCCAGTCAAAACCACAGACATTTCACACCTGACCCTTCCTCCTCCCTCCCTCTCTCTGGGTGAGTGATATTACATGTTGTTGAGATTGGAAAGAAAATGCTCTTGGCCACTGATGACACACATTTTGACACCACTGTAGCAGACAGACAACTGAAGATATACCCGCGTTATGCGTTGAGCAGTTTGCTGGTCTCATGGTTGTCTAAAAATATGTTTGGATTTCGTACAGGGCGAGTGGGGCACATACTTCACACCATCAAAGCCAATGAAAGCCAGAATTATTTGCATGCAGAAACATTTTCAGCATCACATTCAGAGTATGTGGTCATTCAGGTGAAATTAAAATAGGAAGGGAATATACTGTACTTAATATGTAGTCATTATAGGAGAGTTTCTAGTGAGAAAAATGTTTCAGGGCCCCTAAAACCTTAAAAGGCTCTGAAGCTAGTGATCCATGTATGTAAGTAGCGTTCAACCTGTAGGAGACTGTTTTCAAGACCCTAGCAGGTTAATCAAAGTATGCAAAACTCCACACATTTCTTTATATTAAATATTTATTGTACAATGTATTTAAATATAGATTAATTTATATTTTAAAAAAGTAACATGATTAAGCATAAATCCATCATAAGTACCAGTCAGTCAGAACATACAGAGATATTTGGTTGTAAATAGATGGAGGCTGTCGGCCTTGTTAGTCCATAGCTTTTCATTTCTCGTGGCCCTATCTGCCGTATCCCTGCGGGTCGTCGGCATTTTTTGACTCCTCTTTTCCCTTTTTCTTGCTGAAGTTGTATAAACGGCTGGCCAGGTTGTGAACCTGGCATGTCCCAAGGTGGCATTCGCGCCGTGGACGCAACTTCGCTGCCATGCTGTAAAGTGATGAAGAGGAGGAGAGAGAGAGAGAGAGAATCAAGTTCAGGCTTTTTAAAACATCACATACATTTACTAAATCATCTCCAGTTTTCAAATAGATGATAATCTTACAATTTAGGTTTTAATTGCCATAATTGCTCAAACTGAAATAGACACTACAGTATTAATCCTGCATTAGTAGCCTGCTATAGACAGTTTCTTAGGATATAAATATGATACAATATAAGTGTTTTGAACCATTCCTTGTACTCATAGCACTTCTGTAGTTTCCTATTAATAGCCACCCACACTATGTTGTGAATGTATAAGCTCTTTTGTACCTGCGTTTCAGTGCGTCGAGGTCTGGATGTTTGTCTTCTGAATGAAATGGGATGATCTTCAGTGTTTGAGCATGCTGCTCCTGTGTGTCCTCTGACCTTTTCAACCCCGTAGCCTGGACAACGTCTTCTGTGTGGAGAGTGTCTGCGTCCGACCTGTGGATCCATCAGAAAAAGGTAATATAAGCATTTGTAATATATAGATAAACCAATATGTAGTCCAGTTTTTCCTTCATTACGTCTAAATTCCAATATTACTATTGAGGCAGAAATGCATTATGGTTGCTGCCTGCATTTCTCTTCTATCAGTATCTGTTTATTTACTGATGTTTTTCACTAACCTGTGAGTTGGTCTGAGTGGCGTGGCAGCAGTCAGAGGCAGAGTAAGCAGCAGCAGAACAGCTATCTCCATACCGCTATGTCCTGTGGCAGAAAAATCATGAGTGATGATGAGGAAAACATACATATATAAATACGTATCCTGACCAGACCTATTACTAATACATCATCTGTACAATTCAATATTAGCCACAATAACATTGCCACAGAAGAGAATCAGTAAAGATTATGGATTAGAGACCTGTTTCCGGGAAGAAACTTACCACCAAGATAATTCAAAACCCTGCTGTGGCTTTTTGAGTAAACCATTCGTGGTCTCTTGCTGATTGTTGGATGTCCAAGTCTGTCATCCCTTTCCACTCCTGGTCCTTTATAGTGTGATGGCCGGGTGAGGGGGTGTGTCTGTAACGTAGTCATACATGCAGTCCAACTCCCACGCTTGTAATTAATCAGTTACGGTGGCAGTTTTATCCTCTATTTACAGGAGATGTGATGTAAGCATAAATAACCTTTTAAGAACAGCCTCTGAGCAAACACAACATTGTACTTATACTTGAGGTGACCTTGTACCTTGTTGATGTTTACATTGATTTTTATGTTCGGCCTTTGCTCCACCAACCCTCCCCCCATCCACATCCTCCTCCATCCCTCTCCTCCCTCGCTCCACTTGCTGCTGAGCAATTGTTCCAGAAATCACTCTTTCATCTCCATCACCTGCAGGAAGCCAGCAGCGCCCAAAATAACCCCAATTCTCCTTCAGGCTTTTCTTTACTGCCCATTTTTCCTGTGCCTTTTTCCCTTGAGTCACTTTTGCCGTCACCATGTTTATTCCTGAAATGTCCTTCACTCACATCCACCCCCGCAGGCCCCTCGCATACAGTGTTTCAAAAACAACTTCTTAATCTTACACCTGTCCACAAAGATAATAAATCAGGTTTTCGAGATAATCTGATAAAATTATAGCTTAGAAAGAAATTATAAATACTGAACTTTTCAGGTTTGGCACATGGCCAAATTACATCTCTCTAAATTAGGAAATTATCCCATAATTCTTAATCTTTTTATAATACAGTAAATCCACGGGGAGCCAGGGTCGCGTTTAATTGTTTACAACCTGCGCAGTCTGTTTCTTCCAGCCCTTCTCCTTCTCTGTGAATCACAACTTCCCCACGAGTCTATTGTGTCCCTTTCCTGTTACTACCATCTGTGCACCGTTGTCAGAGAAGTTCACTGAGTCATCACTGCCGCGCGTGCACAGCAGAGCCCTAGCAGTTATATATCTTATGATTTCACATATGATTCACATGTGAAACCAGTAACTTGTGTATGGATTTCAGCACATCAGCAAATCCAAATATCCACATACTTTGTCACTAATAACGGCTATAATAATGAGTCAATTAATGGATTAGGCTATCAGCTTTCATCAATAAAATTAGTCACCAACTGTTGGATTAGTTGTTTAAGTAAATTTGAAGCAAAAATTTTTTAAAAGACAAATCATCATTCCAGCTTCTGGAGCGCGTACATTTGTTGCTTTTGAAAATGATCGGCAGATTAATTGATGACTACAACAATCATTAGTGGCAGTCTTACACTAATGTTGACGTGTGAAACAAGTCCCAATACTCTCCTCTCGAGTCTCAGGAGTGTATCAGGACTTTGTTTATTTTAATGTTCCCTGCAATTAAATTTATAATTTTAAATCCATATGTAGAATATGTGTAATGTGTTTTTCATTTAATCAGTGATACAAAATATTGTGTTTTGTGTCTTATTTTGTAAATATCCAAGACGGATAGATAGAAAAAGATAGAAAATAACAAATGTTGGTTGAAATGTTGTTTCAGTGTTGATTACTGACAACTCATGTACATAGGCATAGTATAAAAACGCAATAAATTCACACAATATTAAAAAAGGAATATATATGTGTGTGTGTATATGTATGTGAGTACATTTGTAATTCATTAACTGACTTCATACTTATATTTACTGACTTTATACATATTCACCATAACATAAAATAGCCATACCATCCCAGGGACTCATCTTATGGAAAAAAATATACATCATAAAAACAAAATCGTCAGATCATACTCCCATTAAAGTGGATTGACACTTAAAGTCGAACAGAGGTCAGTTGGGTTTAGGCTGCATGTCATATCGCGTGTCCCAGCCGTTACGACACCTAATCATGATGTCAGTCTGTGTGAGGATGACTGGAGCAAATAGTCCTGGATTGTGTATGTAACAATGGTTGTTTTTTTTGCCACTGTTATAAAGGTTACTGAGGGTCATTAGTCTCTTGTACCTCTGACATGTTGATTTCCTACATCTCAAGAGTCTTAATTCATCTTGGAGGAATATGTGCGCTTACTTCCATGAGAGCACTTTGTCAGGACTCCTCTGACTTTTCTCCCGCTATCGCTGATGTAGTGTGCATCCTGTTGTTGTAAACTTGCAGCCACCTGCCGGCCACTTCAGCCTCCGAGCCCTGTTTCCTCTACCCACTGGGCACAAGAGTTAGCATCCTGCCAGGAAACCCTGTCATTCTCTCACACATCATCTTCTCACAGATTACGCCTTTTAGGGCACTCGCGACACTTTGCAACAAGTGTGTAAACTTTATCTACAGTATATTGTGTATGACAGCTGAAAGTAGGTTAGCTATGGTTTATTTACCAGAATGAAATCTTAATTTAAGCAGTATGTTTGCTTTTGCCTTACTGCAGATTGTTTGATTTAATTCAACATTTTATAATGCACACATATTATGCAAGAGGTAAACATCCTCTTTGGACTTACTGGTGGGATTGACTCAACCATGAAAATAGCTCCATCTTGTGGGACTAGACACAAACAGCAATTATAATACTGTATGCACAATATGTAATTCACTGTACCTCGTCATTTACATGATGGAAGGATTTTGATCAATAAAAATACATCTTAAGCTGTAAGCCATAAGCTAAAAAATTTCATGTTATCTTTAGGTGACTCTGCAGATGCAGTCCCATCAATAGCCCCAGTGTGCTTATGCAACAGCAAGACGCGTGATTAAAAAAAATAAATGGTTATGTCAGTGATTCCTCAAGCTATTAAGAGATTTGAGGGAAAAAGTGTTAAAGCACTAAAATAGAGACAGAGAGAGAGAGAGAGAGAGAGAGAGAGAGAGGAGCAGCAGCACAAGACTGGAAAACCTGTAGGTTAGAGGGTCAACACTGCGTGATATAAGCTTAGAGTCCATTAGTGGATTATAACCATAACCACTCCATGGCTCCTGCCTCTCTCTTGGATTAAAGAGAGAGACAGCGAGACAGAGCGATACAGGGATATCCTGAGCGCATGTGAGTGACTAACTGGAAAGCAAGTGAACTGAGCAAATTCAAAGTCAGAATAGTATACTGTGGATACGTGGACAGAGAAACACTGGGAAGCGAGTAAAGTTTTAGTTGTGACAGTACTTTGGTTTGGCAGATTTAAGGTGATTTTGGCACACCTGCGGTATATCACCTGGCTGATTAAGTGAATTGCAGAAGGTAAGTTTAGATGAACATATGGAATTAAACTCTTGTAATCTTCCTGCAGTCTTTTATGTGTGTGTATAATGCATTTTAATGTGGTGTAAGTGTAATGTAAAAGATTCAGATTCAGCCTTCATCAGTCAGGAAGTATTTAGTGGTGATCAAACTGATGCGGTTGTCATGAAGGTAAGATTGTAGGATGAGTATTTTACAGAAAGTATATAATTTCTGCCCTTTAATGTCTCACATTGATTTATTTTTGCATTCTGTATGAATAACAGACCAAACATATACTGTACATGATGTGATTTAATTCATTTGTATTTAATAATGCTTAACCTATGTCCCATCGTCATCATTATTGTTGTGTAACTTTAATTTTGTTATGGACTGAATGATTATTTGTCTCCCTGTGTGTGTGCACAAGAAGCATGGAGGTGGACCTAGAGACGATTATCCAGTGCATCAAGCAGGGGAATGAGAACGGTGTTCAGACACAGCTACAGGAGTTCAACAAAGAGGTAAACACATTCGTGTGTGTGGATGATACAGTGCTGCTTATGACATTTGCAGAGCATCATTTTGTCGTCGTCTCTCTCCTACAGTTTGCTCAGTGCTTCTTCTTTGATGCTGAGGAGAGGGACCGAAGGAAAGTAAGTTGGTTTATGTCATACCTGTGTTCCTTAAACCTTTAAAATCCCCCCCCCCCACACACACACTCCTCTGTCTCATCCACCCCTCCCCACCTCTACCCCACAGTCTATCTGTGATTAGTAATTCTGCTGTATCAGTTGTCCCTGATCCTCTCTCCTTGCATGCTTAGACAGATTGAACCCAGGCAGAGTGATTGAATAACAAACATACTGCATGTTAATCTATTCAACACTTTCAGCTCTGTCATTTGCAGCCCTTGAACAGCAGTTCAGGGGCCTTCACGAACATCCTAAGGCCAAAAGTAGCTCCTAACTGGCTGAATTAATACAGAAATGCAGGGTGTGTTAGTCCAAAGTTTAGGGCTCCTATAAGCTCTTGATCTAAAAGTAATTCATAAAGCATTTTAATACTAATGTAGGTCTGAGAGAAGCAGAACATATCACAATCAGACAAATAATGCCTCCATAAAAAAATGTTAATAAGTGTTCTGTTCATCTAATTTAATTAAAATTAACTGAATTTAATTGAAATTAATTGAATTTATTTGTATTAATTTAATTTAAATAAATGTAATTATATTGAATTCATTTCATTTAGATTTTAAATATTTTTCTATTTAAACGTAATAATTTTATTTAATTTTATTAAAAAGCATTTACATTTTCTTTAAATTAAATTCTTATTTAAATGTAATTTTTAACATTTTCATTTAATAATAAATACATTTGATCTTTAATTAAACTAGATATTTAATTTAATTAGATTTTAATTTAATTAGTGACTCATTATTTTAATTAATAATCTTATTTTCATTTCTTTACATTTTAATCCTTTTCCAGATTAACCCCATGGAGGATCTAGTTCAAATTTCATGCTCCTATGTATTGATACTTTTTACTCACCGACACTGCTCACCTGTCAACCCATCACTGGAGACATAGTTAGTAAATTAATTTAGAAACACAATGTCAAACCCACCCCTTTTCTTAGTTTAACCTAGAAGCTTTTAGAACAGCTCTTCAGAAGAAACTCTTTGCTATGAACTTACAACAACCCTGATTCATAGTGGTGACCAGAATATATACTGATGCTATTTTTTCTTTCTTCTGCTGCATTGCTCACCGAAATTGGACTATTCACCTCTTAAAGCAAAGAAAACTAGAAGAGGTACAGTGCTACAGTTTAGAAATAATGGTATTGCTATAAATTATGAAACATTTGACCTTATTTATTCTTTGCCCTGCTGTACCAGTTCAAGAAGAATAAAGTGAGGGACTACACTGATTCTGACTCCGACTGTGACGAGTACGACCAGGAGGATCGAGGCCTCATCCTCAGACAAGTAACTGACTCACTTTCTGCTTTCTCAGAGGTATTATCAGTTGTTCTTTGGTGGTAACTTAAATGTCTATTTTTCATTTTCTGTCCTCAGAATTTAGCTGTTGTCCTTTTGAGGTTCATAAGAACAGGAGTTAAATCTCGTCTGTTGAGGGTGTCTCTACGCACCCTGAGAATCCTCTCTAGAGACAAAAAGGTCCTGGGCCCCTTGGTGACCGACAGCGCTCTCCTGACTGTGGCCAAACTCGCTGGGCTGACGACATGTGATGCAAGCGACGAAGCCAGCGACCCTGACTCTGATTTCTACGATAACATCATCGTTTCTCTCGCTGAGGCCAAAGTGTTGCAGTCTCGCAGCAATGAGGGCGAAGGCTATGTTGAAGCCAACGAGCAATACGAAGAGTGCTCCGCCTTTGATGACGACGCCAAGAGTGACATCAGCAACGCCAACAGCGGAGATCTGGACAGCATCAGCTGTCTCGGGAGCCACAGGACCAGCATCAATGAAATGCACAGAAGCAGCATCCATCACAAAGTGCTGGAGCGAGGGAGGAAGGACCGCAGAGAGAGCAAAATGGAAGGGGAGGAAGTGGAGGAGGAGGGGGAGTCAGGGGAGGAGTCGCAGAGAAAAGAGGCCATGAAGGTGTTATGTAATGTGGTGTACAACAGCACCTGGGCACAGGAGAGGTTCAGTGGTCTCAGGTGGGCTTCCACACAGGACACAGACAAAAACATGCCCACACAACAATCCAGAATACTCACACACAGCTGCTGGCTTTGTAACCTGCATTTCTGGGTCCAGTTAGCTTTTTCTTGAATATAATGGTTAAAGTCCTATAGTAAATCACTTTAGGATATTTCCAGTGAAGCAAATTATTTTTAAATTAATTCATGTTATTCATTTGTTGTAAAATAATCTTTGGCATCAGTTCTCTGAAAGTCAAAATGTCAAAGTCAAAATGTTGCACCAGCTTTATGAGAAAAAGCAGAGGCATGCCCTAGTGTTCCCAAACTATTTCACTACTAACAAGTTCAAACCTGTTAACAGACTGAGAGAAAATGATGTATGGCTAATTTCAGTGACTTGTCATAGTTTGGCTTTTGAACAAATCAACATTATTTTCAGACAGCTAACCTCCTGTTTTTGTTTCCGTCAGGCTCATATGTGGTCTCATAGAGCGTCTCTCCTCCAGTATTAGTTGCCCGTGTCCCTCCAGTGTTCAGTTCTATGAACTACGCCTCTTGTTCCTCATTACTGCACTACGGCCAGAGCTCAGGACACAGCTTCAACAGGTAACACAACCTCACTTACTCCAAAGTATTAAATATCTAGTGTAGTATGTATTATGGTAGGTGCAATAAATGGTAGATCATTCTGATGTAACAATCCCCGGAGCTACATCTCCTTTTGTTTATCGTGTCACCTTCAGTTTATTCTAATATTGATACAAACAGACCCAAGATTTTTGTTAAACTGGCTTCCTTCCTGCTCTCACACACATTATGGCGCTCCTCCAGGAGGGAGGTGTGTCCATCCTCACTGCAGCTCTGGAGGGCTGCCTGGATGTTAAGTGGAAGGACCAGTATGAGTGTGTGCTGGACCCAGCAGCACCACCCATCTCACTGGAAGCCTCTCAGTGTGTCATAGAGATTCTCAAAATCCTCTTCAACATCACCTACAGCACCCACAGGCAGGAGCCAAGTGAGGTCAGTGACTCTGAGTCAGCCTTCAGGTACAATGTCGGCCTCTACAAAAAATAACAATCAAATCTTTCCCTAACCTCTATCCTCTCTCAACTGTACTTCACACATTACCATAGAGAAATGAGCTGCACTGTGTTTATCTTCCCTCAGGATGATGCAGCTCTCTACCGACACCTGGTGGCGCTCCTGCGTGTCTGCCTGATGAGGAAGTGTATGCTTTCGGATGACACAGATGAACTGCAGGGGTGAGCATGAGCCAAAGTTGGATAGAAAGAAAATCATCATCAAGCATCTCTCAGTTACATTTTAATTTTCAGTTTAAATGGCATAAATGGCAAAATACAATGTTGTCAAAATGATGTGGATACTATGGTTTATAATTGTGTGTTTACAGCATGTGCAGTAAAGGTAGAACCAAGGTAAAGAGGGAAATGTAATCTTTAGTGTTATAGATTTTCTGACAAATTAGTTTTAATGAATGTATTTTATATATAATATTAGTATTTTGTCAGTGAACTAGTTGTTAGTCTGTGAATGGAAAAGAGAGCTTTAGATCTTATAATTTACATGACCAGTCTTAGAATCTACATTAATACCCTCAACTCTTTTGGTTGGGTTTGTTCAATAAAACCTCCTAAATGTCATTTTTATAAAGAAGCATTGTTTTTGATATAATTTAAAATAATACTCATTAATGTATACACATTATTCTGTACTAGTACTTCTAGATTTGATAGCACATATCCTCTTCTTGCATACTTAAAATTTACCAAAATTTCTTTCAATTTCATTTGATTTCTGTATCAAGCATGATAAAGAAATGGGCCAATATTACATTTGTGTCTCATTCCATAATACTGTGTAAAGAATTCAGTAATTCTGATAACAGCTTTATTAGTAATATGTTTGTATTTTTACTACATTGTTTTTTTTCTGTCTGTGTGTGTGTGTGTGTGTGTGTGTGTGTGTGTGTGTGTGTGAGTGTGTGTAAATAATAATCCACCATTCTCTCTTTTATCTACTCTCTGTGTGTGTAATCTTCTTTCACTCAAACAGTCACACAATCAACCTGTTGTCAGCGCTGCCTCTCCAGTGTCTCGATGTGCTGCTGATGGTGCCTCTGCAGCCAGGCTCGCAGCAGTGCCAGGGAGTCAACATGGACTGTGTCCACGCACTGGTGCAGTTCATGGAGAGACGCCTAGAGTCGGTGAGGGAGAAAGCAATATGCAGAGAGGACACTGAGTGCTTAGTGGCTAAACTAAAACTACTGTAACTAATACTGAAATAATCTGAGTGAGTCTTGCTTGTTGGTTTATTTCTCAGGGTGATAAGATCAAAGAGAGGCTGACACCAATCCTCAATCTGCTGACAGAGAGCTGCAGGGCCCACAGAGAAACACGCCATTACATCAGGAAACACGTAATACCCCAAAAAACATTTTAAAGAAAGCCCATGTCACATTTGCTTCTCACGGTATATGGATTATAGTTGAAACTAGTTTTTTCTCAAATGTTAAACGCAACTGACATTATAGTTTATCCCCATCATTAGATCCTGCCTCCTCTGAGAGATGTATCACACAGGCCAGAGGAAGGCTCCACAGTGAAGAGTCGTCTGATCCGTCTCATGACTCATCTGGATACAGACGTCAAACACTGCGCCGCTGACCTAATCTTTGTCCTCTGCAAAGAAAATGGTAAAACGTTATCACTCTCTGGATTAACAGGGATTCTTTACATTACAATTCTCAGTCAAATACAATGCATTTTTATTTATGATTTTATACACATTTCTTGGAAATTCAGCCCATCCTATTTTGTTTTAGCAATGCCTGTCTGTACAACATGTATAAGAAATCAGTGACTGAAAAATGTATTTTTCTAACGTTCTTGTCTCATTTCCTGTACATAGCTTACACATGTTAATAATAAACATCAAACAATAAATAGTTTTCTCAACATTCATTTTTGTGTATATAATTCTCTCTGTTCCAGTGGGTCGTTTTGTGAAGTACACAGGCTACGGCAATGCGGCGGGCCTGCTGGCCACCAGAGGTTTGCTGGGTGGTCAGGGGGCCAAGGCCTCCAGCTCGGACGGCCAGTACTCTAGCGACTCTGATTCAGACACCGACGAGTACCGGCAGGTTAAAGATCGCATCAACCCGGTCACTGGGCGGGTGGAGGCAGAACAGCCGGACCCCATGGAGGGCATGACAGAGGAGGAGAAGGAGGAGGAGGCTAAGAGGTTGATCATGCTCTTCAACAAGCTGTCCAGGTCAGTGAAATGACAAAGACACACATCTCTTATCAACATTTTTATGCAGAGATCACTTAGAAGTTTATTTTTTATAAATCTTCACTTCACTTTGAAAAGATAAAAAACCCTCCTCAGTGTCCAGTGCAGACAAAGATTAAATAAGAACAATAAAATCAATGTTAAAACTCATCCAGAAATTGTACAGGTTTTTTTTACCCCTCATTTGTTTTACAGAGATAACATTATCCAGCCGATGGGAGTGGATTCAGAGGGGAAGCTGGTCCCAATGTCAGGAATGAGGGAAAATTCCCTCACTGAGGAGAGGGAGTCTGGGTCAGACAATGACGGAGACGCAGAGGAAGCAGAGAAGAACTGAAACATATAAAATCCACTCAATCAACTAATTGATTTTCTTTTGTAAATATCACATTTCTAAAGTCTAACGACATCAAACCAAAGTGATGTAGTTGTCAATGAATGAACTCAAGAAAGGACATAAAAAGCTTTTTTTTAATTTCTTCCTCTTGGATTCATTGATAATGTAGAGAAGCAACAAGGTCACACTGATTTGAGTTAAGAATGAAATTGTGAATTGATGGTAGATCCTGAGAAGGAACTGAATAAAATCAGTTGATAAAATGAGGTAATAACATGATAATATCCTCCAATATTTTAATAAAGTCTTGAACTCTTATTGTTTGTACTGATATTATGTGTATTTTAATGTGTAGTTTAATCATATAGCGTTGCTTCAGAGTAAATTCAGAGTTGGCAGAATCTGATACACGTTCTTGTTGGTTAACCATGAACCTTAAACAGAACAAGATGAAATAAACATGTGCACATATTCACTTTTTTCTGTACAGTCTCTGGTGTGTTGTGGTACATAACTGTCTCCCATTGTGCTCAGGTGTGTATTCTGCATATTGTGCTAAAACTGTCTTGTGATACAAGATACAAGAGAACATTTAAACTGATTCCAGATTCTCGGATCACATCTGCACTGTTAAATCTGACTGAACAGGCTTTACTAACTTTACTACAGTATTTACATTACATACCATCATGTCAGTTTTGAGGGAAATCACCTGTTTTGCTTTATAGCAGAAAACAGGAGTGGACTTATTTCATTACAAACACATGGTTTGCAAGAGCAGAATGAAGAGGAAATAAGAGTTACAGTTTACCTCTAATGCTGTGTGACAGAGCTCTTTTGTTTGCATTATATGTATATGTATTATTTTATTTATATTTATTTTCTATTTTAGAAACACTAGCACCAACAACACCACTGATATAAGAAAGATCTTATCAAATCACATTATTTTATGTAAAAAAAATATCAAAGTATAAATTAGTTAATAAGCATATATTTATCTCTAACCATGGTAAAAACTGCATCTTAAACATTTTTTTGTGTAGAACCAGCAAATCCACCACCAGAGGAATTATTAGTACCATTATTATTACCTGATCTATATTATTTGGTGTAGATATAAAATGTTCATAAAACATGTAAAAAAAAAATTTTCTGAGATGCTTTTGTTCAAGGTTAAGGATTATGAAAAAAAAAGGGTAAACAGTGACTTTCTTCAGGCACACCAAAACGTGTCAGTACAACTCCATCATCTCTTCGAGCGACATCTGCAACTCCACAGACTGCAGAGAGGAGGCGCCGCCTGCAACAGCCATTTTCTTCAGTAACTCCATTGAAGTCAGGACCACCTGAGACAGGAACAAAAAATAAAACAGGAAGCAGAAGTCAGATGCAATGACAGCAGTGACAAGAGCGAGATGGCATATTTGAGCTTGACAGAAGCCACGAAATCTAAAAACCTGGAGCAACGAGACATGTCAAGTTGGTTTTCTTTAAAGTTTTGTATGAGCTTTTCATTTCTCAGCATGCACTCCTCTGTGGAGGCTCGAGGGCAGTGAAACCTCTCACGCCAGAGGGATCAGCTGTCAGCACCGGTATATTCAGCCTTTGTTCCCTCAGTTGCTATGAATCAATACTGAGACAAAATTGCCTCCTGAAAAGCGCTGCTGACTACAGCTCCCTTGAGTGGCCAATTTCGGGGGTTTGATCACTCATGAAATTTTATAGAGGTATGTGCAGCCAAAAGAAAAAAACACTTCTGCCAAACTGAAATACTCCTTTAAGGTGTTTGAGAGCGCAACACTGTGTGTTTCAATAATTCAAAGGTTCTCTCACCTCCACTGTGATGAGTTTCTTCTCCCAAGGCCTGTTGTCTGGGTCAGGCCACTTCTCCCCGAGGCAGAAGAACAGGGAGCAGGGAGGGCAATCTCCACCATTAATGAAGTCCATTATTCCTACAGGGGAAAGGACAATCAGTCACTGTATCAAGCTAACAAGATACGGCACATGTATTCCCACTTATGCTAACAAAAAGTGCATAATTACTCCTTTCACCCACCTCTCACAAAGTCCTTGAACATGTACAGCGGTTGAGGATGCAGTTTAGAGATCTCTTGGGGTTGTCTGCTCCTGTCAAACTTGGACACGCTCCAAAATGCTTTGATTTCGCCGCGTCGCTGGCCGTAGACCACGTGACCTGACAGCCCCAAGTCCAAACCATTGCCCAGCTTGTCCAGGATGCGTTGGGTCAGATTAGCTTGAGTTTGATCCAGCATGGCTCCAGGACTTGGCAGAGAGACCAGGGAGAGGCCTGACTCGTGATCCACCAAAGCTGTCCCCACGAGTTCAGGGCTGATGTGAAGACAACATAGATATTAAGTTCAGTAGTAGGGTAATATGCCTGGCAGAGCCCTGAGAAAGGAATAGTTTATTAAAAATGAACATTTTAATCAAATTCGACATTTTTCCGAAAGATGAGAAGATTGATGTCTATTTCATATGTACAGTGAATCTGAAGCTACAGCCAGGACACAGTTAGCTTAGCTTAGCACAAAGACTGGAAATGGGGAAACAATTAGCCTGATCTTTTTTTAAACATTTTGTTCCTTAAAACAAACCAGATGTCAAATGTAATTAGTGAGCTTTGGAGGTGCTGGAAGGTGGATTTTGTTACCTCTGGACAGAGCCCGCCTTATGCTAAGCTAAACTAATCGGCTCCTGGCTCCAGCTTCATATTAACTGCAGATGAGTGAGTCTTTCACTCTCTGCAGAGAGGATAAAAATGGTAAACTGTGGGACCCAGACAGTCAATATGCACATGTGTACGTCTATAGCAAACACTTCATCACAGGTTGATGATGTTAATGTGTGCAGATTGTGCCTGTAGATTGAAGCGAATCAGAAAAGGGTTTTTTTATTGTGAAAAAATATGTCCCTACCATAAAATACCTGTTTGGTTTGACAATCTGTACACTCATTAACCCGCTTTTCTTTCTTTCTTTCTCTCTTTGTACATAATGAGGTCGGTCTATATAACGACCTGGATGGGCTGCTCTCATCTATAGCATAGTCCCCCAAATATCAAACTGTTCCTTTCATTATGTTCATTATTCATGTCAAATTGGAGCTAAACTGGAGATATTGAGCATTGGTCATTTCTTTTGATGAAAGGTTTATTTGATGTTACCTGTAAACTAAACGGACTCCAGCTTCATTCTCGACCAGCTGCTCCAACACCTTCACCCCTCTGTAGTACACGGATATCCTGAATTGAGTCTCTAAGGATTCAGAGAGAGGAGAAGTGTATGAGAAAAGGTGTTTAAAAGCTCCACTCCTAACTGTATTTCCCTTTTAAACACCTTATTCATATTTCTGGTATTATTCACATTGAAGGCCCACACTGTTTTAATGGCCTTGTTATGACATTTTATGAGGGATGACGTTTTTATTTTTCCATTTCATTTTGTACAGTAACATCCATCAACTTACTGAAATTATCTCCATCTCTGGTCTTGTTCATGGTATCTAGGAACTGCTCTGCAAACTGCCCATCACAGGCCCCTCCCACAGCTCCCTCCATTGGATGTGCCGGTTGCTCAGGCAACCCAGCTTCACTGACTGCACTCTTAAACGTTACTGGATACTGCTGTTGCCCTGGCAACGTTACTCCACCAATCACAACTGGGTTTTCGAGCTGTTGTTGCTCGGGAGGAGGCTCAAAGCCTGCAGTGCCCTCTGTGGAAAAGTTGGAGAAACTGAAAAACTATTTTCTAAGAAAGTACCTTGGACACTTGTTTTTCTGCTTATACTGCAGCAGTGAGGATGAAATGATGACCAGTCTACCTGTTTCAGGGCCAATGTTCAGTCCCTTGAGGCACTCCTGGAGAATATCCTGGTTGGCAGCGGATTCTGCTGGCAAATATTGATCAGTTCAGAAATATTCAGCAAAGTGACTCCACATTCCTCGATTTTTATCAATCATTCCTTTGATACAAACCTAATGCCAAGATATAATAAATAGATAGAGAGAGGCTCCCTTACCTGAAAACACAGTTTCTTCTGGAAGATAGAGGTCAAAGCATGGGACACCCTGGGTCTAAAATATCACAGACGCACATCTGAATGAGTTCATATGCAAATATGTTAATTATTCAGAATCTCCATAGCATTTGACTTCCTGTGTTCCTACAAGTCTTACTTCTTGTGTAGGAAGGCCAATTTCCTCAAACAAATCCAGGTCATCTTGGTCCTGGGATCCAGCAGAAGAGTTAGCTTTGAGAGTGAAGGCAAGGCGCTCTGTTAATATCTGCTGCTTACTATCTTTTAATCATTTATTCTCCTCCGAAACACCCCTTTAATCTTATAATCCCCATTACAAATGGTATTGACTTGCATGCTCTGCATTTGCACGCTGCCTTGATAAATCTCAACCACAGGAACAGAAATGCGGACATAAATGTATGCAAGACAGATACTAATGTGGAGGTAAGGAGGTGATTAGATATGTACTGTACATGTGAACATAAATGAGCAGCATCTGTCGTGCATTTACTGTATTATCTTAGTGTAGTGATATGAAGAACCAACCGATGTGCCTCCCCTTCCTGGGATTCTAGTTAATATACACAAGCAGAATAATTCTGCATGATTAAAACTTAGCGAGAGAATGTGTGTGTTGATTTGCAAGCAGGAGAACAATCGGTTCTGTATTATTTTGTGCACTTGTAATGCCACGTGCCAGTGAATACACATCACATACACACATCTAATTCCAGTTGAAACAACTACAACTAGCAGCTACAGTGAAGGACCAAATGTATCCTCACCTGCTGATCCTGACTCATCCGGCCAGCGAAACACTTTATGGGGGTTAGCAGCGTCATTCTTGTTGTCAGAGAGCAGTTTGAAGCCTTTGGCTCGGAGGGCGCTGCGGAAGTTCCTCTTCCAGACTGAGGCGTCACCATGAGCCCGACCATTGCCACTCACCTCTGCCCAGGCCTGCAGGGAGGAAACAGGAACATATATATGATTACTTTATACTATACTGCCATTGATTATTTTAAATACCATGTCATTAATGACGACTGGCGATTACCTTAAAGATGAGAATGTCAGTGTCGGAGGAGTCCTGTCTTAAAGCGTGTTTCCACGGGATGGAGAACTCTGTTCGCTCAGGGTTTGTCCACTGGACACCAGGATACCTGCCGCTGTCAATGTGGGACCGCAGCCACGGGATGAGCAGTGGTTTGGAATGAGACATTCCTGCAAGAGCAAGAACAAAATGTCACCGTCAATGTCAGCGGGGGGGGGTCACTGCATTGGTTTGCTGTCACATACTTCAGCTCTGAGCCTTTCTCACTGAACTGTAAGCTAGACATTGGAGGACGTCACCATGAGCTCTGGGAAGACAGCGATCAACATTCTTCGCCATTTTCTAATTGATTAATTGAGAAAATGATCAACAGATTAATCAATAATGAAAATAAGATAATAGCTGCAGGCTGATCTTTGCACTGAATGTAACAGGGAAAAAGAAAAAGGTTGGAGGACTGAGCTGAGCCAGGCTGGATGTATGATCACCATCATTATTCATGTTTATTTATAGGCTTATATTAATTATTACAATTTTCAGGTCCATCTTTAAAGCCTGTAGAGGGCGCTATTTAGACATTTTACAGCCAGATTCATACAAATGCACTGTCATCTACCAGAAATAATATGAATAAATAAGTAAAAAGGGGGCAGATAAAATAAAACCCAGCTTGAGCTTTACATGTTTGAATTAACTGCTCATTCAACTGTCGAAAATATACATTTGTAAAAGATCCTAATGCATGCACTCATTAGAATGAGGGATTACTCTATCTGTTCCCACTAAATTATACAAAAAGCAATTAAAGAAAAGCAATATAGAGTATGTGAGAATGTGCAGTGTTATGGTGCAGCTGGGAGCAGCTTACATTCGCAATTTCTGAATTGCAATTGAAAGAGGAAGCAGGCGAATATGAGGCCAGGTCTGCTTCAGTCCTCAATACCAAAAATACTCCAATACAAGGCAAAACAGCCCAGTGCTTCACTTAAAGGGTTTTTAAGTATTACAGCAAAGTATTCAAGTATTCAAGCATGGAAATTACTCAGAAAGTACTCATTTTGAGGAATTCCTCCTTGCAATATGTCTGTATTAGGAGTTTAATGTTTGGTCCAATTGTTTCCTTGAATTGTTGCGTTTAAAGACTGTGGGAGTGAAATATGACACAAAGTTACATAAAGTGGAAATACTCAAGTACAACAATTCAAGTCTGAAATAGGATATCTTGTATAAAGAGTAGCCTAAATATAGTAACACCCCCCCCCCACTACAGATGTACTTCGAATAATATTCATATGACAGGTGAAGGCTTCACAACAGCTCTGTTAGGCTCAGAAAAACTCACTTAAAATGTGCCAGGTCTCATTAAACCTACCTGTTAGTGACGGGGTCTCAGTCAGCTAAGTGTTGAGTTCAAGTGCAAGTCGATATTTCAGGGTCAAAAGTCATACGATGCAGGATAGTGGCTCTGAGTAAACGGCCTGGTAGCCGGAGCTATGTGAGGAACTGTCATTCAATCCCAGCTGCAACTTCCTTAAGTACCGTCGACAGTCCGGTCTCTCTGTAGCCGGCGGAGGTTTTCTCGGGAAACTCCGAGTCGTCAGTTTCGTTTTCCAGATGTGACGTCACGAAGGTTTCATGCCAGCCTGGCCCGCTAGGGGACACACACACACACACACACACACACACACACACACACACTTGTGAGGACTGTCATGTAAAAAAATACTCAATAAAAATGTATTTAGATTATTAAAAGTAAAGGTAATCAATGCAGAAAATGTACCAGTGACTGTTGTACTATTAGAATCTGTCATTAGCATTCATGCGTTTATCTATTTGTTTATTTATTTAAGGGGAGGTAATGTGTACATGAATTAACATCAGAATTTATTTGAGTCCATCGTTCAAATGTGCCAGATTTAGCCATGCAGGCTCATTTTCATCTGTATTCCCTGGCAGGTTGATGGCATATATGAAGATATTAAAAGTATGGAAATGCAATTATTAATCTGTTGATTTATCAATTATTTGATTGTTTGGTGTGAAAATAGTGAGAAATTCAGTCACAATTACACCCAGTGACACCTTCACAATGGTTTCAAACCAAACCTCACAATTATTAAAAACAAATTAACATTAAATTAAAAGGAATCAGAAAATCCTCACAGAAGTAGAAATGTTTCATCAATAGTTGATTAATGATTTCAGCTGTACTTTTATATACTGCTGGATAGTTTAATTTATAACAAAACATCATATTCAATAAGTATTTCATATGCTTTGTCTGTAAAAAATGTATAAAGTAGCCAGTTAATAAAGCTGAAAGATAATTGTAGTGGAATAAAAACAATATTTCCTTCTGCAACGCACTCTCACACACACACGCACTCTCTCACAGTAGGGAAATGAAACACCATTTGTTCTTTGCAGATTTTATTTGTTTTTCAAATACAGGAGAGTTAATGTACAGAAGGACAAAGAATTTCATCAAGAACTGTACAATATTTACACGCCTTTTTTTCCTTTTTTATGGAAAATTAGATTGTTTTCAAAATAAGTCATAGTATGCACAAACATCAAAATGATAAAAATGAAATGACTATTTCCTCTTTAAATATTACTTATTTATACTCCTTCTTCCCACATGGGAAATGGATAGTTTACTTCTTTTTCTTTGCACCTGCATGACTGATGACTGAACTGAAGCACAACAATGTTAAGTTTCAAATAGATTTTCCCATTCTCTTCTTTTTTTCTTGTCTTCCTTTCTTTTCTTTTTTTTGTTGTTATTTTACACCCACTGTGGTACACCAAATACTTCTGTCTCGGTGTCTGTTCTTTTGTATAGAGGGGAAGACGGCTTGGATATGTGGGTTACGATTGTACACTGAACCTGCGGGAAATAAAAAGGTATTTAAAATGTTAGGGCAGCAACCCAGCGCTTGTGAGAGTTTAAGTTAAAAACCTCCTCATATAAATAATAAAAATGTGTTTATATATTATCACACAGCTGACTGGTGCTGCCCTTCACATAGCACAGGATGAGAGAGAGAGAGAGAGAGAGAGTGTTTTATTATCACATTTCATGTTTCTATCCGTGGACGAGTCCATGTTCACGCTGCTCACGGCACACTCTACACGCAGTTTTTAAAAAGCATTCTCACCCTCTTCCACTCTTTTCAAAAGCCAACAGCTGATGTTAGTCTTCAAAAAAATAATTTATGTAAAAACTAAGTGGTAATAGTTTCTCTTTGAACTATTGTCTTTATGACACACAGTTAACAAGATGTCAGTGACTCCTCTGTTGACTTGGCGCTACGGCTCCTCCTCTTTGTCCTTCCGCCTTGCGTCGCTCCCTTTTCACCAACAGTCAATTCCCTCTTGACCCACCAGTGACCCCTGATCCGGTGGGGTTCTTCCTCTCTCACAAAAGTAAGACATTTCTTTAGTCATTGATCAACAACAAGAAAAAGAACAAGAGGCCAGTGTCCGAGGTCACATGAACAGACCCCCTTGTGTTCGTCAAGGGCCTTCAAAATTCATCCTCAGATCTCAGAGATTTGAAGAGGGTCGGGGGGCTGTACAGTAGGATCCATTTCTTTCCGTTTTTTGTATTTTCTTTTTTAAAAATCCTCTTGCTTTAATTCATTCTGTCTCTCTTTATGTAGTTGCCTCAGGCTTTGGTGCTGAGCGTGAGCAGCTCGATGAAGGAACTGAAGAGGGTGTCCAGCCAGCTCTGGTTGGCCATGCACTGCTGCACCACTTCCTCTTGGCCCGGGTCCTCAGCTGCCTGCTCAATGGTGTTGGTCTAGAAAAGTGGGACAGAAGCACACACGATTGCGATGGTGAGACTCAAAACCAGGGAAAAGAAAGCATATACAAGCTGGCATTGTGTAGTCTAGCATGACATTTGTCCTATATCTCATACGGTATATTTGAGGGAAATGGCTTAAAATGTAATTAAAAAATGTTACTATTAATGTTACAATACTAGAAACGTGTTTGCTTACCTCTTTCTTGCACTGTAAGAAAGTGTGGTATTTATAGTGATGCAGGGAGTGGTAGAGACTGTAGATCCGATACGAATCGGCTGACAGTTTAAGGTCCTTAAAAAAGAGAGAGATAATGATCAGATTAAGATTCAATCAGTTTTATCAAAAATATAAATGAATATTAATATTGCAGTTTCATGTGAGAAAGAGAGAAAGTTGAGCAGGTTTGGAAACTCGCAGCAGGTGTTAAGAGGGGAAGCTGGTACCGTTTTACCCCTCTCTTCCCTCAGTGATCCATCTGTCCCCCCCCCACTGTTTTTACAGTAATGGTTAATTTTGTTGACGCAGTGGTTTCGGTGTCAGCCAGAAAGAATCACCTGGTTTATAGGCTAAAATTCTCCCACAATGGTACACAGAGGTCCCAATGGTGTTTGAGGACTCAAATAAAATGAGAAAAAGGTATGATGCAAAAAAGGGTAATCCTTAGTGGGGGCAATTTTTTTAACCCTCACAGATTTGTAAAATACATGTAATTATATTAAGAGCCTACTGACCTTCAAAAGACTTTCTCACACACAAACACTTACCTGTGGTTTGGGCAGGGTCTTTTTGACTCTGTTGAGGGTCTTGCGGTTATAAGCATCCCCGCTTAGCCGCACCCTCACCACTCCTGAGTCCAGGGGGTCTACAATGATCTGTGGGTAAGCATGCAGGACCTCCTGTCATGAAAGGGGCAGAAAAAGGAGGTTACAAGTCAGAAGCTGACACAGAGAGACAGACAAGTAAATATCTTGACAGAAATGTAGAAAAAAAAACTTGAGACTGCGTCAGTTATTATATTCATCACCAATAAATCTTGTCTCCAATAAATATTTAGTATATATATTGTCAGAACCCAAGGCAATGTGCATTTACAATGAAAATTAAACATGAAATTAAGAAAGCAACTAATCCTCATGTAAATGTTGGACATTTTAGCATTATAAATGAGTTTTTGTTTATTGACTAATCAATGAATCTACTGTTTCATTAGTAGAATCCATTACATGAATGATACAGCTTATTGACAGACTTTGGTATTGCCCTTATAGTGTGCCACTGGCATACCAGCAAGTTTCATTAAGGAAGCACCACAATGTGAAATACAAATTGAAAAGGAAGATGTATTTTTAGTCATAAGGGCACGAGAGAGAGAGAGAGAGAGAGAGAGAGAGAGAGAGAGAGAGAGAGAGAGAGAGAGAGAGAGAGAGAGAGAGAAGCAGTACAATTAGGACAGATTACCTGGTGCTGAGAGCTCATGCTGACTCTCCTTAACAACCTCCTCTTCTGTTCGCTGAGGATGCTGTCAATCTTCCTCATCGGTGGGAGGTAAAGCTCATCTGGTGGCCAATCAAGGTAGAGGAAGTTTCATTAGTCATCATTCATGTAGCTGCCAATCATTTTAATACCAAGGGCAGATTCAAAGCGGCTCTTTCTGGCTCCTGATCTATCAGCATTCCTGGGGCTTCCCTTCAACCTGTCACACCTTGTTTATTTGGATTTCAAAACCATTAAAAGATTCCTCTTAATATACGGAAGAATTCTCTAACAAATCCCCTATCGTAAGGGCAGTTTGTCCAGGTGAACCTTGGCAGCAGCTACTTTGGAGTAGTGGCGATGTTTATTCACATGAATATTGACATCCGAGCTGCAGTAAACATGCTACCAGACAGGTTGGGTTAGAGATGTTCTCTCATACAATACCTGAGCTCTCCACTCTATTTCTGTCCCCCTATACGTCAGTAGATTTTTAAATAAACAGAAAGCGTGTGCTGTTTGTGGTCCTTACCATCTGTGTCCTCCAGTGCTTGGATCATGTCGGGGTCCAGGGCTGTGCTAACCAGCATCTCCACATAGCTCCTGAACATCTCCCTCATAGCACGGTTGTTCACTCCACCTTTCACTGGCACTGAGTGGATGAGAACCAGAGTTTTAAACTACACAATGCCAACCTTCTACTGTAACACATCATATAAATAACACCTGATTTGTATTACAGCCTCAAATGTCAAACAAAATTCTATTACAATGACTTGTGATGGCAAAATGCAAGCACAAAGAATCAAAATGGCATCTCACTTTCATTCTCACTAGCTGCCTCCTCCGATGAGTCTGAGTCAGATGATGAAGGTATTTCCTTCAGCCACTTCTTCCTCTTCTTGGGTGGTGGCTCTGCCTTCACTTTGGCTGGCTTGGACTTGGGTGGGCGCTCAGCCTTTTCCTTCTCCTTCCTCTCCAGTGCCTTCTTCTCCTCCTTCGCTCTACCTCGTTCTGCTGCTGCAGCACGTTTCTCCACTTTGTCCTGCTGCAGCTGTACTCGTTTCTCCTTCTCCCTCTCCTTTTCCGAATCCCTCTCTTTCTCTTTCTCCTTAGCTTTGAGCACGGCAGCTGGAGTCTCCTTCTTCTCCCGTTGTTCTTTTGTTGTCGCCGTTGCGGTCCTTGTTTTCTCCCTCTGTTCTCGCTGAACTGGTGGAGCCACTCGTTCCTCTTTCTCAACAACTCTCGGTGGTGCCTGGGTGGCAGGGGGGGAAGCCATTTTTGGGAGGGACTGGCGCCTGTG